ACATAGAGACTTCCAACTCTCATCTCAGGGAAGGTCCCATAGCCGGAATTAAGCATGACCGAAAAAGTGTGTTCGGATTCCTCGTTTCAGCATCGCCAGGCAGCCATGCTATCCATTTGTTGGTCTCCAGGCTGGAAACAAAGAGAAGAGTAGTGACGATAAAGGTATACCTCAGGATTTTGGACAATAAGATTAAAGTCTATTAAATCCAATTCATTGCCTTCATCAACCTAAGTGTTATAATTCTCCATTGATAGAGCTTCTTCGTGCCTTTAGTCGGTTTCTCCACTTTGATGATTAATTTTTTTTATTGTTTTTCATTTTAGTAATCCTTCTAGGATTACAATTAATAAATAAGGGCACCGATACAGCGATACTCTATTTCATTCTTTTCCATTTGCTTTTAGTTTTATCAGTATTACTGGATCCTATTAGATTTCTCTAGATGAAAAGCATCTTGGATGTTACCATTCATCCTGAATGAATAAATGCGTATCTCAATCTAACAGGCTTATTGTTTACTACCAGATATATCAGATTATTATGATGTTAGGTATTGATGGAAAGAAGCTAATGCTTGCTCTAACTGTTGGTCACTGATGACTGATGAGAGTTTATGATGAAGTCTCTGCAGTCCATTTGTAAACCTATTATCGGCACTTCCAACTTGCCAAGTGCCAACTTAATGGGGATCAAGGTCCAGAAAAAACTCAATCAGGTTCGTTATGTTGTATTTACTTTGCTGATATTGCACATCTAAAAGCAGTAACATCAAAGTCTATTGCCATCTATGTTATTTAGAGGAGATTAGGTCTAGCACCAAGTGGAGCCTTAGTTTTTTTTATGTTTGATTAGGCAGTGTTAATTTCTTTAAAGAAAACAAAAGAGTGAGATTAGGGAGTGCTTATTTTTTATTGTTTTGTTTTCCAAGTGCACTGGATTGTGGTCAATAATGGAATATGGACTTATGTGTTTGTAGATTAATTTGTGATTTCCACAAGGTGAATAATTTTTGTTCGACGTGAATATCAATAAAACTTTCCTTCCCACGTTTACTTTTCTATAATAAAACCATCTCACATTACAAACAGTTTCTTTGAGGTGGACATAATGCTAAGGTAGCTTGGGAGGTTTTATGTCAACTAAATGAGGAAGGGGGCTATGGATGATGGCATGTCAGACTTGTTAAAATCTCTTAGGAACATCCATTTAAAGAAAGATATCATTTGGATCAAATAGATACACACTATCTATCTAAAGGGTGTTTCAATTGGGATTGGACACCGCCCTCTGTGGTGTCCCCTTTGTTTAACAGCTTGATCAAAATCACAAAAGAGTTGTTTTTCTTGGCATGTGGGCAGCATTACATGATTTATTAGGAAAACTGAATAGTTTTGGTTTCCCAGATAAGCCTTCTGCTATCAGGATTTATAATTTTGCGAGGACCAAATTTACTATTAATTAAGCCAAGGATGACCCTAATCTGGAAAAGATATTGATGGGTTCACATACATAAACCATGATTAAATAGGTTACAGATGAGTCTTGCATGCGCTTGGTCCAGGTCACTGGGCATTTGAGAGTGAGCACTGGACAATTACTATGTTTAGTCTTATAATTTTACTCATTTACATAAAAAATAAAGGTGAATAATTTCTGCTCTTCATCCCTTCTCCTGATGTTTAGCCTTTGTATTCTTTAATTCCTTGTACGTAGTGAATAAGCTATCGGTCTTGTTTGATTTTTTTTGCTCGATTTACATATTGGAAGCCGTTGGTTAAAAATGCATAGCTACTTCTTGGCCCAGAAAACAAGACATGACGATGTGAAGGGAAGTAGCAGTTTTCATCCAAAAAAGTGAAGGGAAGTAGCAGTTGGCTATTCAGAAAATACTATGGAAATAGAAAATTATGGCTTAGTTTATTGTTGTATATCCTATGAGGTTCTTTACATCCTCTCATTTCTTTTGGGATAGAATGGAATTGAATGTTTGAATGGCATTCTTATCAACTTAGCAATGAAAAGCTGGCCTTACTTCTCATTGCTTTCTTGGCTTCTCTTTGCTTCTATTTCATTGTTGCTATTTGTGTGTATTTCATTGCATATCATTTATGTCACCTAATAATTTATTTTTCAATTAGATAAATGTAGTAAGTTGCAACAATAGATTGAATTGAATATTTATTGTGATACCCTTGTATATTATTTTTTGTTTCTTTTTGTTGTATCATGTGTATTGCATTTTGTTGCATAATGTTGTTTTTTGTTGCATCTTGTTACTTTTTGTTGCAGTGTGTTTCTTATGATTGTTTATTGTTGATTCTGATTTTTGCATTTTATTTAAATAGCTATTATTTTTCTACATCTTTAAAATAGAAATATCTATATAGGTTTAGTGTAAAACAATTAGATACAGACACCTAAAAAGTTAAATTTTGATTTATGAATATGAAAAGCAACATGATACATAAAGAAACAATGAAAAACAAAAATTTCATAATTATCAACAAAAAGAAACACAGGGAAATCATAAGAAACAAAAACTAACAATAAAGTATTAATACTAATAATTAAAAATTTAAGTACTTTAAGAAAAATTACAATAGAGAATTGGTATTTTACTTTCTCTTGAATATGTAATTATTTTTCAAGTTCATCATATTTAAATTTCAAATTTTAATTCCATGAGTATATTTTATTTTTAAATACTTTTAAGTGACATTAATTTTCTGATTTTTATTACTTATTTTATACAGAGTATATTTTACTAGAAAAAATTATTTAATGTATTTTCAACTATTTAAATTTTAATTTTTTTTATTTTATCGGATTTTAAAGATTTAAATTATTTAATGTATTTTCAACTATTTAATTTTAATTTTAATTTTTTTATTTTCTCGGATTTTAAAGATTTATATATTTCTTTGAATTTTAATTTTTTTTTTGTTTTTATTCTACAATTTTTACTCGTTCTAATTTTTAAAACTATTTTCATGTTTTTAATATTTTAAATTTTTTATTTAATTTATAGAAAGTTTAAGATTCTAATTTCAAATTTTAATTTGCGTTTCTTCATTTTTTGAAAAAATTATATTTTTTAATTTTTATACTTTTATATTTATATATTTCTCTTTATTTATTCAATATAAATTTCATTTTAACATAATTTATTTAATTTTGAATACCTTTTTACGATACTTATTAGTCTCTCATAATTTCCAGAATTTATAAATGTGCTTTAGTTATTTATGTTTTTAATATTTTTATATTATATCTACATTTGTATTGTCTAATATAATTATTTATTTTAATTTTATAGTACAATCATAATATACTCCATGTGAAGTTTGCACTTTACTGAGTTTCTATACTTCTTTCTATAGCCGTTCCGTACAGCCGTTTGGACGTTTCCCCCCATTAACATGGATAACTATTCAATGTCTATTAGTGAAAGGAAACCCGTTCCTAGTCTGTTTTTGAAAGAAAAGTGGGGAAACTGTCAAATAAGTCCATCTACTTTCACCAAAAAGTCAATTGAGTCCATGCACTTTAAATTGAATCAATTAAGTCCACAAACCCTTAAAAAATGACCAAATTTGCTATTTAGCCGGTTGAATGGAGGTAATGCCGGTTATAGCTCACTTGGATGGCCACGTGGCGATAATTTTTAATTTTTTACTTTTTTTTTCCTTTCCATTTTATTTCCTTTAGCTTCTTCCTCAGAGTTTGCATCTAACCAGCGCTTCTTTTCTTCCCTAATTTTGTTCTTTTATCCATTCTTTCTGGCTCTCTTTCTTTCTTGAAGGGTACCAATCGCCGTCGATTGTAGCACATAGCTTCCTCGATTTCCGTTCAGCAGTACCCGACGCCCAAAACTTCACCATCCGCCGCCCTTCGCCCACAACCGCCCTTGTCCACAAATTCCCTAACCACCTACACCCATCGCCCACATCTTCCTCGAGCTGCCAACAGCCTCCGGCCGCCGTCCGTCTCCCACATCATCCCCAACCGTCGTCGCCTTCCGCCTGTCTCCCTCATCTTTGTGAATCTCCGCGGCCCTATGCCTTTCAAAAGAAAGAGCGTCAGGGCTTAGGAAGAAACGAATTGCGGGAGTAGTTTGTGTAGAAGCACGGAGAAGAAAATGAACGAGGGAAGAAGAAAGATAGATTGAAAAAGAAAAAGAAAAGAAAACGAAAAATTAAAAGCAGGAACAGTAAAAGAGTCCATTAGGCTTCCACATAAGCGTGAAAAGGGCTACCGGTTGATTACCGACTAAATAGCCAATTTGACCGATTTTTAACAGTTTGTGGACTTGATTGATTCATTTTAAAGTACAAGGACTCAATTGACTTTTTGATAATAGTAGATGGACTTATTTGATAGTTTTCCCAAGAAAAGTTGAAACATGAAAAAGGTGATATTAATTTCCCTCTTTGGTCTTCTTCCGTAAAATTCCCTTAAAAATAACCGAGTCCGGGTCGGGTCCGAGTCTAGACCCAACCCATTGACAGGCCTATTCCTACGGTTGCGATGTAGTCCGGTGGGATCAAAGCACGCCTAAGTTTCTAAGTAGCTTTGCCATCCTGTTCAACGCCCACCCTCATTTAACTCCTTAGGGAGGGTTTACATGCTGACAAGAGTTTATAGGGTAATCGAGGCTTTCCTAAGTTATACTGTAAAAACACTGCACCCTGCACATTCATCCCTAAGAAATTATTGTTAAATAATATTTTTGGAATGCTATTTGGTGCGAATCTAATGCAATTCTAACTAATGTGCAATTCTTATACCTATGCAATTTTACCTAATGCATGCATAGGATTGAAGACTTGAAGAATGAAGAGTGAAACACTTTCAGAGAGGAAGCAATTGGGGAGAGCAATGGATAACCTAAAACCAAATCGGTACCTATTATCCAGGATCACGCTTCCGCTATTGGGACCATGAACCTTTCGGTCTTGGTACCGGGACTGGTAATAACTAATAAGAAAAAAATATACTTATTTTGTAATGGTGGGCTAATATATCATCTCTATAAAAATTCACACAAACTAGACACATTGGCGTACTCCATTTTTTCCAACTAATTAACGTACTGTAATACTTGAATCTCTACTGTACTACGTAGTTAAAATTACAACTGCAGCAACAGTAAGGTGTGGACTAAATAATAAAACTAATAATAAGCACACTGCTATATGGAGCAGGTGGGCACCTAATTAATGCAGCAATCATCAATCATTTACACTGCTCTGGGCCTGTTACACCAAGCAAAAGAATGCATAATCTTTTGTAATTTGACTGCAATTCAAATAAACAAATGCATGAATAGCTAGGGGAAATTACAAGGGATGAAGGTGAACTCACAATATCGAGGAAGCTACAATCCATGACAAGACAAGAGCCGAAATTGCATGGAAAACCATAGCAATAAAATCCATGCCAACTGACAGCATGTAGCGTCGGCAAATGTACTCGTGCTCCTTGTAGCAAATGGAGTTTGTAGCAATCAAGTGAATCACTGCCACGGCTGAGGATATAGCTCCTAGCGACAAGGTTAAAACAACCTGCATCATAACACACATGCACGCATCAAACCACTAGATTACAGCTCAGACAAAGCCGGAAAAAAGCTGGATAAGATATATTTTAGCGCCGGTTTGGTTGCCAGTTCTAGCTTATTTCAGTTATCAGCCGAACAAAAAGAATAAGGTTTTGACTTTTTTAATTTTATTTTGGTGACATGTATGTTACCAAAACAATTTCCTTTTTAACATATTCAGTAGGAACTAGAGTCTAGACATTAACAAGCAAAACCTTAAAAAAAGAAAACGAAAGAGAAAAAGTCAAGTACCCAATCAATAACAAGAGTCACCATCACATGGAAATGAGAGGGTAGGTTCCCCTGAAACACCACAACCTTAAGATCACAGCATACAAGCACAAAGCTCCACGTAGTTTCAACACACTGTTGAATCAGTAGGACTCTGAGAGAAACACAAGTTAAATCCAACATATAAAAAAATAGAATTATAGTAATAATCATAATATAAACAAAATTATGAAAAAGACAAAACATACATATGAAGCACTACCTGAAAGGTGTAACTTCTGTTAGTCCAGGAGCAGAAAAACTAATGGAAACAGAAACTGCAGCGAAAATGCACCGAAATATCCGAAGTACTAGCCCGCTAATCTTCCCAGGTCCACCAAACATTTGCCTCATGTCTCTAGTTGGTGTCTAGCTTTTCACTGCCAAAGCAACTATTGTTAGTGATTTTTACTCCCAAAAACATGTAAAGTTCGTGTATTGCAATATGCATCCATGAAGGTAAATTATATTCTATAGTCTGTTAAATCATAAAATACATGATGCCACTTGTTATGTTAGGATCTACATGGTATACCTCCACATATAAGTGTAACTAGTGGTGGCTCGGGTAGCTTGTAATGGAACAGACCAAATTAAATACAAAGTGAACTTCTCAGACAAAACATTGCACCATAGAATTATAGAAAGTTAAAAATAATCACATACAAGGAAATAACTATATCAGATGAGTAATTAAGTTGAAACTAGGTATGGCTGGCTCCTCCCTAGCTGCATTATGAGTGTAACATTGACATAAATTGTTCCTCTTATTCCTATGTTACCTAAAGAATTTCAAACATAGATATAGACAGAAATAGCAAAGTTCTCAAATGTGTGTATGAAGAAATAATTATCAAGTGAATTTACATAGCAATGCTTTAAGAAACCACGTACATCAGGATACAAATAGAATGTTTACACGAATTAGTAAATTCATCCCTCTAAAGTTTATGTCTTATATGAAAAATAAGATGCAATGACTAAACAACAACATACAAAGAAACCAAGAGTATAAAGGCCGTATGTGTGTTTGTCATCAAATCCAGTTAAATGTATTCATAGGTTTGTGAAATTGTTTTTTGAAATCCCATGTAGATTCTAGACTGATCTGTTTCCTTACCCTACTCCTCCAAATTTCTCTAGACTCTGGACAACAAAAATCTAGACTCTGGACTTAAGTCAATATAGTGAAGAAAGCATATTAACTGTACAAGAGTATTCAATATACCTTGTGATGCAGGAGGGAGGTCTGAGATAAACCCAAAGAAGAGTAGCGGAAGTTGTGCTGTGAATAGAAGAACAAAGGAAAGGGTTGTTAAAGGAGATAGCAGTAGTAGCATCATAATTCATAACCAGTTTCTAATTTTAATCCAGCATCCTTTCCAGTAGTAGTACCGTAATGATAAGGCCTAAAATGAAAAACCTTCGTCTTTATGCTTATCTATGTGCATATCTGACGAAAATGGTCCTGCACAATGTGCATGTGACAGGCATGCCTAATAACAAATCATTGGCATAAAAGTACTACCATTAAGCAATTCTGTGGCCCTCATACTTTTCATATTAAAGGAAAAACTAATCTCAATAGTTTAACCTTTTGTAAGATGTAAAATTAGTAGCAATACTTGTATCTGCAGAGAAGTGAGCCAATACCACAAACGAATTGGAGAATGTCCAAATGTCCAATTCACATTTCAAAAACTTTGAAGCATTTCAACAAATTATAGATCAATAACTACAAGTACCAGATGAATGTAGGAAAAATTGACAGTTTTGACACCACAAATAATGAAACACTGACCATCATCACTGCGTATCCTAGGTATTCCGGCGGTGGAGGATTGCGCCATGCTAGGTTGACTCGCCTGAACTCTCCTCGGCGTAGAGCGAGTCCGCGACTGCGCGGGGTCGACTAGGCGTCTAGTAAGCCAGATGGAAGACATTAGCCGGCCGATATTTCCCGGTGCTGAGTAGCCTGGGAGCAGAGTAGCGCAGTGGCAAGTCACCGCCAAGTCGCTCAGACTTCTACATTCGAAGTCCCTGCCGGGTGTTTTGAAAATTAAACCTTGACCTCTCCCTTTAATTTTAACAAATTGACCATAGCGTTGGGCCATTTTGCAAGGGGTGGTACGGAAAATGTGTTAGGGAGTGTTTGCAACTGCTTCTGCTTAAAAAAAACACTTTTGGAGATGTAAGAAAAAAGTGATTAGTAGTAAAAGTTGATAGTGTTTGAGAAAAAAGTGATTTTGAAAAGTAAAAGTTGGTAGTGTTTGGTAAAATAAGTGCTTTTTGTGTAATAGAAAAGGGAAAAACACTTTTAACACGCAAGCCGAGAAAAAGTAAAAATTGATAGTGTTTGGTAAATAAGTGCTTTTTAAAGCCAAAAGCTGAGAAGTGCTTTTTTTAAGCAGTTGCAAACACTCCCTTAGGAACTTTAACCCGTATTTACTTCGTTGTTAAAAACTATGTTGTAAAAACCGGACCAGGCAGCCACCCGGCCAGATGATTGGGTCACAAGTCAACCCGGACCCGGCGGGTCAAGCCTGTCAATGCCGCAAAACCCGGTCAACATAGAAATTAAGTTATTATTCTAAAATATACAAATTTTTACAAAATATTAAATGTATTTTAAATTAAATTGACAATAAATACATATATGATGCTTATTAAAAAATTAAATATTACATAAATAATTTCACTTATTATTACTACAATAATACTCTGTAACTATGTAGTACAGTGTTCATCAATGTTGTTATATTTTATTATGATTATATTTATTTATCAGTTCATACTTAACTTTTAATGTATTGACTGAGAGCATTTAGTAATAATGATTATTATTTAGTATTATTATTTATCAAGTAGGACTTAGCTTTCAATAATACTTCAGAGTATAATAAATACGTCTAAACATCAACAATAACGAACAAGATAGTGCAGTTTGATGGTTTGCAACCAGGCTACTCAAGTTAAGACCCGTGTTCGAGTCCCTTTCGCGAATGTTTTTGCAAAATGACTCCGGGTTCTACTGACTTTCCGGGTTTGGGCCTCTGGCCCGCCCCGGTTACGGTTTGGGTCCAGCAGGTTTGTCGGGTAAGTCCGGGTTTGGAGACATTAGCGGGTTGATGAGATACCGGACCGGATTGGGCTACGGGTGACCGGGTTCCGGGTCGACCCGCCCGGGCCGGTTCGGGTCTTACAACATAGATTAAAAACATACTCCCTTTTAAGGATGTTTGGACCTCATTCTAAAAACTACTAGTATTTCTCATCTTAAGAAACTGGGGGAGGTCAACTTCTGAAAACAACTAATTTGATTCTGTTTCTACTTTAAGAAAGAAGCAGAAGCAGATCCAAACACCCCCTTATATTAATAAGACAAATGAAGTAAAGACAAACTTTCATGTCCAGTCGGCCTGACAGGAACCGTCGTCCGGCCAAGGGTATTTGGATCCTTCCCTGTGGCATTTTTTGATGAATTTGTTTGAGTACGTTGTTCATCAATTCTAGTATGCTCAGACCAAATTTCAACTAAAAATTCAACCGGGAAGACAGTCAAATGATTTTTTGAAAAACATGCGTTGTTTATATATATTAACTGCGCAATGTTCTTAAATAATTTATTTGACTACAATCTCGATTAAATTTTTATCTGAAATTTCATATGGGTAAACTATATTTGATGAAGAACATGCTCAATAAAATTTATCAAAAGATTCCATTGGAAAGGGCTCGAAATACCCTCGGCCGGACGGTGGCTCCCGTCAGGCCTGCTGGACTGGAAGACACTCATGAAGTAAATACACAAACTATCTAAAAGGTTGGTTGCCCATAAACATGGGTTTAAAGTGTCGTTTACATAACATACCACTCTCATGCATAAATTAAGCGTCAATTTAAAGTTTTTAATTTCCTCATTTCCCTTACCTTTACCCCTTGCCTTAACTTTTAACGTTATCCGTGCCCTTACCCCTAAACTACCCCACACCCTTACCCCAACCCTTACCCCACATGTTTCTATACCCCTACCCTTACCCTTTACCCTTAACTACCTACCCCACCCTACCCTACCTTACCCATTCACTGATCCCACTCATACCCTAATCGACCTACCTAACCCTACCACCAACCCCGACCCTACACATGCCCTACCCCTACGTACGACTACCTCACCCTGACCCTTATCTATTATCCTGTTACCCCATTTTACCCCTACCCATGCATGTACCCATATCCTGACTATGCCCGTATCCCTATCCCGACGGGTAGGGGTGGGGATACGGGTAGGGGTCGTGTTGGGGTGGAGGTAGAGGATGGGCCACCACATATTAGGTAGACTCATGTATACCTGAATATCTGTGTCTTTATATATGTACTAAAATTTTTACATGTGCTGAGCATGGGATAATAGATATGTTTTTGGGATATTATGTTACGTAGAATGTAGTGAAACATATTAAACCGTGTCGCTTCCGCTCAATGACATCTAAAGAACATGTCACGCCCCGGACCTCCCCGGACACGTAAACAACCCGCCGTACAATACGAATAGTCAACCGCAGTCCAACACATTCATATCATACAAGGCGTCCCGAATATCATTCACCCGTAAGCCATCCATAAACAAACATAATAAGTAATCGAATACATAGCGGAAAACATAGTTTGAAAACAAATGCCACACGTGGCTAACATGAGCACGCAGGCTCTATAGTAAAATATCCATGAGCATGTTTATTAATGTTTAAAAACCGAATGGAGGAAGCACGAACCAAGTCTTTCCTCCTAGATGATCACTCGAGCAACGAGCACAGGAAGCAAGCTCTAGCCTCAACCTGAAAAATGGTAGTGGGACGCCCCCGAAGGGGTCAGCACTCTATAGGGCTATAAAGTGCTGGTGTGGATGGCATCTAATAGATATACAACAAGTATTTCAAACACAAGACCCTCAAATAGGGTGATAATATAATCTAGGCCGTAACCCCAAGTTACCCCTTTTCAAAAATATACTTACTTTATATATAAAGTCAAGTAGTCGGCCCGTAGGCCCAAGGTTTGTTTATCAAACATAGCCCAAACCCCGTGACCCCTAGTCACAACAATATATAGGGTTCAACCCTAACACATATATTTGCATTCTCGAGTCCAACTCGACTACATCACCATGCACCTTATTTAACACAAGTTAACTACTCCACCGTGCATTTCTTGAGTCCAACTCAACTACATCACCATGCACAACAATCACCCCATCATGTCTACCCAATGCAATTCTATGAGCACGGGCTCAAGTACATCTCCTTACATTGGCATAGACCCCAATTCCTAAGCACTCACTATGCCTAGAATTGTAATATCAATAATCTATTTTGGGACATCCCTACGGACTGCCCAACCATGGTCTTAGCGTCACATTACATCAATTTAGTCACTTGCATCACAATCAAGTTCATCAATTACAATCAAATCCATAGATTGAATTCCTTAACAATTACAACAATCATTAACTAGTATTTCAATACTATTAAGATTATTCTTATCCATCATATATTCCATTTGTAAAACCCTACATATTTAGAGATATGTAGCAGCAACTTAATCATTCAATGTAATACATAAATAATCATTTATGTATCTACACAATTCATACATGAGTAAAATGCCTATTTCACACAATAGTTCATTTAACTCCATTTTTATCAATACTTTACCAAATCACTTCCCATTTCATTCTTTGGAAAATAGATCAATATTCCATCGATAATTTATCATCATAATCCATGGAAAACATTATTTAGGCATTTAGGTAATCTCATGCTTAACCTACAAGTTGTAAGCAACTAGATGTCGATCCTCACCTCAAATGAGCTTTAAAACCTTCCTTCTCGATCCAATGGCTAAAGCCTCGGCCAAGGAAGCTTGAGAACTGATTCCTTGCTTAGAAATGGGTGCTAAACAGCCTCCTCAAGTTGCTATTTCAACCCCTAATCGTTGATACGAAAACAGCCCCTAGAACGGGTGTTTTCCGGCTAACTCGATTCCTAGTTTTCCAATATTTGCATCTAGGTTAGTATCTAACCTTTACATCAATAAAATAACTTAATAGGGATGTTTTATACACTTGGATTAGTGTATAATAGTCCCACCAATCGTTCATATCATTTGGAAAATGAATGGAAAGGTTTTGGGATTAAAAACTCACTTAGAAGAGTAAATCCGTCCCTGCGAGGTCGCGTTCTGCTCGGACGATTTGGAAGCCTTCCTCTACTCCGATTGATGCAAACCAGACCTTCACGGATTCCTCGTCTTGAGAGCTTTCTTTTGGTATCTCACACGCCTTAATTGGATTGGTAAAACTCGAGATATCAACCAAACAGTCTCAGCACTCTCACAGCTCGAGTTTACAGACCACTGCTCGTTCCAGATCGATTTTTGTAAGATAAGCTCTCTCTCCTCGAACAAAGGCCACTCAATTATGAAACTACACTTCAAGAGCTATCCAAGGACACCTTATACACGTTATTTGGTTGAGGATAGCTCCTATAATGAGAGGAGACAAACAGCACACCAATTTGTGCGAAAATAAGGATGGTGGCCCAAGCTTTGATTCCTATCAAGTCATGTGCAGCTCCCCTCCATTATGGCCGGCCAAGGTAGGTCTTCTAACCCATTTTTATTTGTTTTGCAGGTACTAATATCATGTGGAGTGGTTCCCAATTGATCCCATTAAATTTGGGGTCCAAAATATCTACCAAGACTTCCAAAAAAATGGGAAGATGGGTCCTATTGTTTTATCTTTGTCAAAGATATCTTTTTGTACTCATCCTAATTTATTTAGAACAAGTCAACTTCCTAAATCACATTATTGATCTCCAATATGTGTAGGCTCACCCCAATAATTTACTTGATGGATATTTTAGAAGGAAAATCCTACTCCCATTATTTAGCTCAATAATGCCAAAGATGGGGTTATAGACATTTGTATTCTCCTTTAATCATTCTTTCACTATTTAGGTAATGTTGGGCTCTTTTATTTATTAATAAGTCCCGAGTAAGTATTTGCG